GGAGCAGACTGGGGAATTGGTTGGTGGACAGCTGTGGTGATAATGCTGATAGTGGGTATAATAACACCAGTATTTTATTTGCTCTATTATGAAATTTTAGCGAAAGTGGATGTTAGTCATCATTCAACAGTGGGCTCTTCACATTTGCATCCAGGACTCACACCTCCGTCACAGCACAGAGAAATGGAAAATGGAATTGCTCCAACAAAAGGAATACATGTTAGTCAACAAGATGACCACAACCTATATAGGCAAGATCCGCAATCACCTGCTGCTCCACACAGAACGTAGCAGTGAGCTCTGATCAGTGTTGATGAGCATGTATGCCTATGGATATGGCGGTTCACAGATGGCCAACAGCTGCTTCGACGTCAGCATCTAGGGACATCGAAGATGCTCTGTTTTCACCTTGCTAGGAACCACTAAGCCTTTTACAAATGGATTGTCTGTAACACACACATGTGTTTCTTTATATTGAGACTGGTCAGAATACATCTGCTGTATCAGTTCTTAAAGCAGAAATTAATTTACATGTATGTTTAAGAATTCTAATGTGCAAAATGCTGTCATTTTTCTTATTCAGGATTAGTTGTGATTAAATTTATTTTTTGAAAAATTATTTTTTATTTTAAGGTTGTTCATGTCAAGATTTTCAAATGCTTAGCAGCTGAAGAAAATTTGCTACCATACCACCAAAATACTGGTTTTGATTCTAAAATTATACCAAGTACTTAACACTCAATTTTGAAACTTTTTTTTTTTTTTTTTTTCTTTCGAGACAGGGTTTCTCTGTGTAGTTTTGGTGCCTGCCCTGGATCTCGCTCTGTAGACCAGGCTGACTCTGTCTCCCAAGTGATCTGCCTGGCTCTGTCTCCTCAGTGCTGGGATTAAAGTCTTGCACCACCATCGCCTGGTTTCAGTTTTGAAACTTTAAAAACATGTTTTATCATGTGCTATGAAAGCAGATGTAGAAACAGATATGGAAACGTAATTTATAATTTCTGTAATAGAGGCTAACAAATAGATTAAATATTTTAAGACCCAAAATAATGTCTTAGGGTTGGGAACTTAACATTGGACCACAAGGACAAGACCTAGTCCATAAAAAAGGAAAGCTTTATGAGGAGCCCTCCAGCCTCACTTTCACTTATCATTTAAAGTAAAATACTTGTATCTGATATTTGGAAGCACTTTGATGAAGTGTTATTCAGAAAGGTATATTCAGCAAATTCCTCTTTACATACTGTGACTAATCACTGCTGTTACAAATAGTAACATGCCTTAATTACACTTCCTGCCTTACAATGTTACTTTACTGTGAGCTCACACACACTTTACAATTGGAGTTGAAATATTGTCAGATTTCCTTCCATAGGCTGTCATTCCATAGGCTGTGTAACTTTTGTCTTCTCTTAAACACAAGTAAACATGGAGTAGCAGATTTGTACTATCTGCCTCTCGTGTCTTGCAGAGAAAAAAATGAGTGAACAGGACTTTGACATTAGCAGTAAACAGATTGCTGTATTTGGTGGCCCCTTGACCTCTGCTTTTCAAAAGAAATGTCCTGTTTAGATGATCTAAATGCACCTAATATGCACTATCAAACTGAGGAACACAGGCCAAAGTGTGAATTAGTCAAAAGGGCTTAATAGTGACATTTTCTAAGTCTGCTGTGAGACAACCAGTTTGGCTAAGAAGCATTTGTATACTGATTTCAGTGTTTAATTTTAAATATGTGTTTTTAAAATATCAGTACAGGTGGTAGAATTGGGATTGCATGTTTTCTGTATAATAAACTGCACACCTTAAAATATATCACCTCTTTCTGGACATTATTTCCTAAATCGATGTTTCAGCTTTTTAAGCATTTTGTATATCAAATTCTAATCCTGATACAAGGAATTATTAATACACATTTATTATATTTGAGGTTTGTATACTTTGAGAAGAAAAAGCACTACAAAAAGACACAGAAGTCAGTCATTTTATTAAAGCCCTACATATATCAGAGAAGTTGAGAAAATTACCTTTAAAGTATTTAATAATAGGAAAATTGTAGTGAATCAATTCCCTTCATATATCTTAGTTAAAATAATTTTTAATTGTTTTAACAGCCATGTGCATTTTGAAATGAGCATGATCTGTAAATATGCTCAGTGTTAACACAGCCAGTTTACATAATATTTATTAAGCCTGCTGAAAAAAATCAAATGAAGACTTGAGGGCAGTACAGGTGACATAACCTTTGAAGGACTTTGTTTACATCAAACAAAATTAGAGTTGGTGTTTTTTTTTCCCGGTTTTATTTGGAATTGTAATCAAGGGTTTGATAACTTATGTTTAAAGGAGGAGGTATACCTGTTGGTTAAAATCATTTCTATATTGAGCATCCTTTTTGAGGGAAATACATCCTTAGGAAACAACCACACAATTTCCTTTCCCTATGTATTTTAGAGTTACTAATCAAATATAATTTCGTAGATTTTTGAAAATCTATTAACTATGCATTTGCAAATGTATGCAAAGCTTTGGCATCTGCAAACCAGTGTATTCTAGACAACACAAGCACAACTGTCATTGTTGGATACTATGGATCATGTTCAAGCCCTTACTTGAATTTGCTTTGAGGCTTTAATTTTTGTGTGTGTATTTGTGTGTGTGTACTTGTGTGTATGCAGTTATAAACATAACAGAAGTGGTCATAGTCATTGATACTAGCTCACTTAAAAATTTGGAATTGCAAGTAAAGAAAGACCTGATATTAGGACACATTCTTGACTTGTTAAAGACTAGTTAGATGTGGTTGAGTTTGTTTTGAACCAATGGATACCTACTTAAATATCATCACTGTCCTTTCAACAAAGCAAAGTTATGGTCTGCTGGCCATGTTATGGATTAGGAAGGAACATGCATTCTCAAGTTTTTTTTTCCAGTGGAGTTTGGTTGTTAAAAGCTTTTTTCTGGACTAAGCTTTTTGGCAGTGAGATCTAACATCTCACTGGAAAGATGAAGGCTGTGGTTAGAAGTAGAAGTGGAGATCCAGTCTCAGCGTGTTAGAATTAGGGTTACTTAAACACTGCATTATCATGGGACTCTTTCTGATTTTGAATTACAACATTGTTGCTCAGGAAATCAGTATTTTTTTCTAAGTATGTGCATATTGCACTGTTAGATCATAGAAATATATGATGTTTTATTTAATTCATTTTATGTATGCAAAAGCTATAAATCTTTTGTATAATGTATTTTATATAATTGCAAATGTATTAAACCATTGTTAGCATGTACATCTGTAAAACTGGTTTTTAAACTTTTTGCCTTGTTTTTCATATTTTAAGGATATGCAAAAATATTAATAAAGTTTCTATTTTATTAATTTGAAAATGGAAGTTGTTGAATGTAATTGAATAAAGCAAACATTTAATTTTCTTCTTTCAAGCTACTGGAAGTACATTTTTTTCACATTAGTTCTTTAAGAGTTTCAAGTTTTGTATGTGTTTTGTTCATATTTACACACACTCCTAACTTTTCCCTGATCCACCTCTTCCCTGTGCACCCAACTTTGTGTCCTTTAATACACACACACACACACACACACACACACACACACACACACACATTAAGACCAGTGGTTGACTTGCCAACGAGATACATTCTGACAGAAACTAACTTTTCTCTGGGCTGCTATCATTCACCGTTTGCTTCATGGCTAGAGGTAAGATTGTGTGGTCCACTTCCCTTGCCTGCTGGGATTTGATCTGGCTTGGGCCTGCACACATCCTGTACATGATGTCCCAATAGCTCACACCTGTAGCCACACTGCTCTGTCCAGATGTTTCCAAGTCGTCACCTACAGTCTCTGGCTGCTGGAATCTTTCCACCTTCTTACTTGTAGCACGAGTCCTAATTGGTCTTAAAAATGAAAGCCTGGAGTCAGCTGTGGTGTAAGGGCTGAAAGATCAGAGACAAAAGAGCAAGCCACAGCCACCACCACCTTGCCAACTCCTCAACCTGAAAGAGTGAGCTCCTGTCTCCTCCCACCTTATGTTCCTCCCTCTGCCCAGCTGAGGAGTTGGCGAGGTGGTGGCTGTGGCTTGCTCTGTTGATCTTTCAGCATTTACCCCTGTAGCTGACTCTGGGATTTTATTACCAAGACAAATTAGGATTCATGCTACACTTCCTCAATGATCCCTTAGGAGGAGGGTGTGTGCCATATAGTCTCTTAGTATCTGCCCCTTGGCCAGTTAATCATCATTTACTGCAAATAGCTTTCTCAGATGAGTTTTCAGAGTCACTAGGAGTCAGTTTAATATTCTACCTATTTATAAGCGTAATAGTAGGTTCTCCCTTAGGACCTCTGACATGTCTTCACAGTAGGTTTTTGGCACAAAAATGATACCAAGTGTGAGTTTCATCTAATGGAACAGGGCTTAAATCTTAACTAGAAAGTGGTTGTTTATTTCCATGATGTTTGTGCCATTATTTCACTAATGGACATGTCCTGCCACGGCAAATCTTTGGTGTAGTTAGTGGAGTTGACAGCTGGGTGTAAACTCAAATTGCCACACATTTATGTGTTCAGATTTCTCACTTGTTACAGTCAAAGTCCACTGAACTATTTGTAGAACACAAAACAACAAGTGTTAGATAAAGGGCGATGGAGAATTGAGTTCCTGGTGAATAAGACTTGGTAAGTCCAGGCCATGCTCATAGAGCTGAGTCAGTCTCATGTGATGCTCTATATGTAAATTACATTTTTTTTTATATAAAACAAAAAAACGCTTTTCAAGAATATAAATCTTCGGGACTCAGGAGATGGCTCAGTCAGGAAAGTGCTTGCTGCACAGGTGTGGGGCCTGAGTTCAGATTCCCGCACTTGAGTAAAAAGGCACACCTGTGATCCTAGTGCAGGGGAGGCCCAGACAAGATCCCTTGGGCTTGCTGGCCAGACAATCAGTGCGGATTGGTGATTCCCTCCAAATGAAGAGTAATAGAGGAAGACTCTACCTAGCCTTTGGTCTGTGAACACATTCGAACACTTAGATACATATGTAGACCAGGCTGGCCTCGAACTCAGAGATCCACCTGCCTCTGCCTCCTGAGTGCTGGGATTAAAGGTGAGCGCCACCACCGCCCAGCTGTCTTTCAATTTTAAAGCGACTTGACCTTGAAGTTGTGCTTACAATTCCTCTGACACTTGTCACTAAAGGGGTGGATGGAAAGATGGCCAGCAATCCTCTGATGCTTTGGTATCTTCCAGCAACACTGTTCAAGAAAACAGTGAGCGCATGCTCCCTGCCAACGTCAGGGCAAGAGTTTTCTTTTGATGCATGTGGTGGGGGTTTGTTCATCAACCATCCCTGCTAAATAAATGATGTTTCTTTAGCAGAGAAAAATCAGAATTAACTAGTTTTCTTTACCAAACAAATGTTCACTGTAAACCATCTTAGTATTAAGGCCAAAATTTTATTTTTTAAACTTTATATGTGTAAACAGATACAGAAAAACCAGCATTGTAGCAACTAGTTTTATTTGTTAAGATAATGTTAAAGATATTTTAGCCAACCAGTCCAGTCCCAGGAAGTACTTTAACTATTATAAAGTAATTTCACAGTCTCAGAGCTTAAGCCAAGAAAACCATTTATGCTAGTCAAGCAACCTGAAATCAGCATGTTTTAAGTTGCAAACCGATCTTTCAAAGGGGGATGGACATCCTTGAAGGAGATGCCAGGTGCCCAGAGTAAGTCCTGTCTCACAGGGTTTCCCGCCCCTCGGCAGGAACACAGCCGTGAAGACGAGCTGGAAACTAGGGAGGAGCTACTGTCAATGCATCTCCCTGATTTGAACAGTTATCTGTAGATGTGTAATGAAGGAAGGAAACAAGTATCAAACAGAGCATCTGTGAACTACATGTTTGGCTCCGGTGCCCAGTGTAAGGGAATAAAGTACCTGTTATTCCGACATAACAGCATTTGCCATAACTACTAAAAACTTCATGCAAGTTTCCCAGCACATTGGAGTTTTAAAGACTTTTCATGTTTCCACTTAGAACCGCAAAACATTTTTTTATAAGCTCCTGGGAACCGATGTAAGTCACATGTGTTCAGCACAGCACTATGCAGACAAGACATGGGCCATCACACCCATCTGGAAGTATCTGAAGAAGCAGTGCCATCGAAAGTGGTCCTTCTCCTGAGAAAGGAATGTTGGAATCTCTCCAGACTGTACAAATTAACTAAAGTTTCTAACACAGATACAAGATCGGAAAATCGAATTATAACTTAACAGTCCACAGTACAGTTGTTTACAGGATAAAAATCAGATTTAAGACATGATTGTTTCTGTAAGGTAAAAGATGGCATATTTGTAAATTCTGGTTAGTGTTTAAAGAATTTTTATAGGAAACTTTACAAGTGGAGAAACTAAGGCACACAAACTCAAGCTCAATTTCAAGGTTATCTTGATCCTGAGGGAAAAAGCAGGGCTTTAGTTTCCGGGTCAGAAGGTAGGAAATGACAATCTTCCCAAAGGGGAGAAGAGGTTCTTCCCCCTTAAGTAGATAATTTTAAATATATTAGTTTTGAAATGTATAATATGCATTTCCTTAAATCTTTGGCATGTTAAAAGTCCTTAGAGGTTGAAGGGTTCTGGATATTTTCTCCTGCAAAATATAAAACTGCAGGGGAGCTGGGCGGTGGTGGTGCACGTCTTTAATCCCAGCACTCGGGAGGTGGATCTATCTCTGTGAGTTTGAGGCCAGCCTGGTCTACAAAGTGAGTTCAAGGACAGCCAGGACTGTTACACAGAGAAACCCCGTCTCAAAAAAACAAAGAACAAAAAACCCAAAAAACTGCAGGGGAGTCACCTGTAAGTTAAAACAAGAAGAATCAATTGTAATTTCAAAATGACCTGAGTTCATTTCCCATGATTCTATTATTGACTTGAAGTTTCTGAATCTTGTGGAATGTAACCAAGGGCACCGCCCTTCACCATATTCACAAACATCATTTTATCATGAAGTTTATACAACCAGGACTTATTTCCACTTACATAAAGTGGAGAATTAAACAGTATGTCTTAGTTATTTTTTTCCCATAAACCCAACAAACTGAAGATGTCAAACTTAATACAGTGGAATGATTAATTCACACACTGTAAGGCATGGAGTGATCCCCAAAGCCAAGCATTTTACAACCTTCCATCCATGTGAAAGCCTCTGTTTTGGCTGAGATGTAAACTGAAAGTTATTTCATCGCTATCACTATTTCGACGTGTTTCTTACCACCCAGCCCTCGTCCCGAGTCTGCACTTGTTAAGAACTCAGGTGAGTCTATGCAGTCACAGCGTGATAATACAGAACATATCAGGTAAGAGATTATTTCCAGTTTGTTTTTAAAGTGCTCCACGTGCAGTATCAATAGAAATCCACCATGACTAGTAACAGCTTTACCAAAGGCCAGCAGGTAAGCAAGAGTGATCTTTTTCAAGTATGAACACACAGAGTGATGCTAAAACTCTTCAGGCACGTTCAAGTCCAAATAAAGACCAAAGAACCCTGCAACTCCACTACATATTCAGAGGGGGGGTGGAGGTGCTGGGGTAAGGTCTCGTGTGTAAACGCAAAGTGCTTCTGAAGAGCTTGGTAAGACTTTGTCAAATGAAACACTGAACAACAGAAAATACGGACTTAATCCTTATCAGAAATAAAGTAAGCCGATCCAAATGCTTGAAGCTGTATGAACAAGAGAGAGAAAGTCCATGGCTAGTAGGTCGCTTCATCCATGTTATCATCACTGTCTGCACCGAAATCATCTCCATCTTCGAAGTAGGAGTTAATGTAGTCATTTTCCTAAGAGAAAAGAT